ATCGCTAACGAAAAAGTGATTCAATTGAGTTCAAAAGAGTTCAATTGATAGTGATGCTTTGTCAACAATATGCATGTCATATTATGGTAAAATAATTAAATATAGGCATTATATATGTTCTTTAATAATATTTATTTAATATTAATCTGATTTTCCCGTGTATTTACCCGGTAATTTACATTTGTTGGGAAAACTCTTTGAAAAATTGATAAATGACCACCCTAAAGTACCAACCCAGTCAAGTTTCCTTTCAGAAAAAATACTATAATTGTAAATTGGAGCAAAATTGCTAATAGAAAAGTTGTTTATGGGGGAAAAAAAGGCCGAAATATTTTTCAACTAATACCTATATATACTTTATTAAATTTTCCCATTTTTCCTCTGTTTATTTTTTATTTTTTACATTTGTTGAGAAAACTCCTGGGAAAATCGAAAAATAACCCGTCTAAAATATCTCTTCAGTCAGATTTATTTTTTAGAAAAGGGTCTACATCGTATACATCAGATTGGAGTTTTCTCGTATAAAAAGTGTTTACATAATAAAAAAAAAAAATAAAACCAATACATTCATCGCTCCATTCAGAATCTAAAACATAGTTGAGTTGCTACAATAATACAAGTTTTATCTAAATTTTTCATAAACTAAATATTCGAGATCATGTTTTAAAATAGAGATGGGTACAACACAAGCATACTTAACCGAAGAGTTGGCGAGTATTATAAAAAATAATATTTTTGCACGTCAGTGGAGAAATAAACATTTAACATCATCTTTATACGTCCATTTTTTTTTTTTTTTTTTTATTATTATTTAACTTATTATATTTATATTTATTTCCGATTAATCTAAACGGATTTTTCAAAATTTAAATACTCATTAAAAAAAAAAATCAAAACAGTACAATATGATAAACATATAATTTAATATCCGTTTTAAATCGTCTATGAGAATCACGGCGAAATTCACGTCAACCGAATCAACCAATGTGGCTATAAAATTAAAAAAAATAATAATAATAAAAGAAGCAATAACTATAACAAAAACGCAGAAAATTGCTTTCTTTAAAACACGGTGCCAAGTAATTACATTGTATATTTCTATTATTTGGCTAATTTTCTAAATTTTCGGAATCAAAAATAGACTTCCGGTCGCTTAAATCGAGCGAACGCATCGCTGTGTCGACATCGCCGTATTATTTCATACAACCAACGACCGTGCAGTCGTGTCGTCGCGAAAACGTCGCTTTTTTTTACTCGATTTTTGATTGCGAGTGGGGCGGTTAATTAATACATAATCATAAATTTCGGGTCTAAATGTTCTTGGCTTCCGAATGTAAACCCGTCCGGTAAATTAAAACATTTTTCTTTTCTTTTTCCGGTACGCAATATTCATTTGCATGTTTGCGTTTTTAAACGCGACAAAAATGAAACAATTTCAGATATATCATTTCTTTGGAAAAACTATCGGGAAAAATGTATTTAAGTATGTAAGGTTTTTATATTTTTTTTAACCCCGACAAAATGTCTTTCCCAAGATATACAAAAAAAAAAAAAAAAACAACTATGTAGACGGATATATATATATATTGACGTAGGTATGAAGTTTGGTAGCCATAGGTACTATAAGAGAGCGTATATTATAAGAGTGCAAATAATTGTATTCGATTAACCCACGAAACATCGATTTATGCCATGAATGATAATGTTGTTACGTATAGTGATATAATGACATAGAAACCAAGGTATGCGTGATAAAGACTATATTATATTATCGTTGCTAAATAACTAAGTATGATGGTGTTAAGACGTATTTTGATTGTAAATTGCGCGTTTGTTCATACATGTATATCAATGTAAACACAGATATTTCATGGAAAGAAAACTCAGCTGGCAGTGATGTTTGTCGCTGAATTTCCGTGTTAATGTAAACGACAAAATCACAGTGACAATGACGCTTGCGTGTCGAAAAAATTGTCACCGTACCTACAGTTATATAGCCACGATAGTAGTATAGATTTTTAGGTTCTGCGGCACAGCAAAACACCGCATAAACAAGCATGTATTTGACCTTTTTATTTTTTTTTAACGGTACAGAAAAACGCCGCATAGAAATTTGTAAATTTGGCCTCTTTTTTGGTTTTCGATTTTTACATAATATTTAACTATTAACCAAATCTTCGGTTTTAAAGAATCAAAAACCAAAAGAGGCCAAATTCGAGCTTATTCGTGAGACGTTCCGCTGTACCGTGGAACTTACACTACTCGCGATAGAGACGTTTCGTTTTTCGTATTATCACGTCATGTATTTATCACATACTATAATTCTTGTCGTAAACAAATATTGCATGGATCAATCGATACAATTTGTTCCCTCGGCTTTCTATTTAGATTCTAGCTCATAAAGTGTCGGATGTCTATAGTTGTTTTATATATCTATGGTTTTCTGAAACGAAAAGCAAGCGCATCCTTAGCATAGTAAAGACCAATTATTATTATTTATATGAATTCGGTCGTCACGGTAGTAACTATTTACGCATCAGTTTATGACAGGGCTGCCTAATAAGTATAATAAACTAAGTATAATAACCTGCAGTTGTTAATTCGACGAGGGCTGTTCGTATAGCTCCTAAATACAATAAAAACCCGAATGTAAATATTAGTTTCCGTCGAAAAAGGTTCTTAAAACCAATACCTACGTACGTTTAACATGTGTGTTCCACGTGCGCTGGACACCTTTTTTTCTTCAAAGAGAAACATTATTATTATTCTCAATTTTCTAATCGATTGCTCGTTTTTACTTTAAGTTTGTTGAACGTTTTGACTCACGCTGGTTTTATTTGCTAGGACCCCGGTACGAGGGGTACCTGCAGTTATTGGGTCACGTCCACAACCATTTTACAAAGTCTTGCTCTACATTTTTCTTTAACGATATTCTAAATTACGTTTCTATATTCGGTTATTCTCTCTATTCGTTTTATTTTCGCCGTATACTACTCCAGCCGCACCAGTGCTTCTAAAATATTCTTCGCGGTATCATTTATATGGAGCATGTTTCACATCCATGCTCATGTTTCTATACGCTCCGAACGTATTCTATAATATTGAGATGTATATCCATATAATCCTTTTTGAAGTGAACAGTTTCACAGTAAAAGTTTGTAATGTTGTTATAGATCGATTAAATCATGTCCGACGTCGTATACCGGTAAATCGAGTCATTCGGTCGTTTTCGGATTTACACGTCAATTCCGTAATCATTGTTCGAATAAAACGAGAGTGTTTAGGCGCGTACTACTCGTCTCAAACCGTACCGGAGACAGGAGAAGATTAAAATAATAATGTTTATTAAAACAACTGACATCGTTCGAAAGATTATTCTTGAGGCGGAAGAAACAAACCCTATTAAAATGGAAAAGTAAAAAAACGATTCTAAAAACTTATCGTTGTAAGTACTCTGATAATTACAAAAAAAAAATAAAAATAAAAGTACTCAACATGTTTTAATGCGAGCTGAAATAGTATAGAAAATAATATTGTAATCCTTGTGAGTATTTTACAATAATGCCGAATCAGCAGGGACAACTACGTAAAGTATATAGCTGAGTACTTTGAGAGTTTACTAGGTTCTCATCTCGATGGGGAATAATAATTATGATTTTCCTCCACTATATCAAATTATTAAATGACATAATGAAAAAAAAAAAAAAATGATACAGCAGCTAATGGGTGTGCCACTATTATGAGGAAAGTTGTTAATGAGGATATGGAGTAATTTAATTTATATATGTATGCAAATAAAAAAATTGCTAACGAAAAACGATTCTGACCAGAGTATAAATTATTATATTCGTAATGTTTCCCTTGTTGCTAATTTTGAAATCAACAAAAATGACCTACCCAACGCACAAGATTAAAAATGATACAAAAAAGTTCCTATGAAGTTTATTTCGGTTGAAGCGATGTTTCTGAAAATATTTTGTATAGACACAAAACGAAGAAATCCAATAGATATTTTATGGTTCGTTCAGAATCTTAAAAACATAACTGTTTATAGTATAGCAATTTATTTGATTACAAATTGTACTAACATCCGCGAAATTTAACATTAAAATGGAATTTTGTTTTATGCCGTTCAAATCGATATCGTTCAACACGTAGTCGTTTTGAAGTTGAACGTATACCGAGTTTCAAATGGCTGCGAACGGTTTGTTTAAAATCTGTTTGTATGTTTTTAACGGGTAAGCTCAAACGGTACCCTTAACCGATTTTAAAACTTCTGACACAAATAAAACACTACGTTATCGGCGAGTAACGCGGACTGTATTTAATATTCAAAACAATTAGAGGTCCCTACGCAAATTTCAATGGTTACGTATTTCGGTATTTTTGGTGCAAATATTTTTTTAATTATTTATTTGTTTATTTTATTCGCGGGTTACCTTGGTTACGCGGATGGCGGTTAATCGGTTTTCACGGACAAGGAGACTAATATTATTTAATTTCTACTATTGTTTACACCGTTTTCTCTAGCAACAGGGGAAGCAGTGCCGGGGCAGCTGGTCATTGATTATTGTTATTAGGCGATCGGTGTTGAAATGTGTTTGCACACGTTCGGTTGTACCAGCGCAAATCGGATTTTCGGTTGGGCATTTTCGCGGCCGAACCCGGAGCCGCCGCGGGTCCCGTCCCGCGACCGCGCCGACGAGTTAAATGAGTCGTTATGGAGCTGTCAGCCGATTCGAGGCGGCGGCCGCCGCTACCGCACCGCCCCGCCGCGCCGGTACCGCGCGGACCACTACCGCCTATGCCGTGCGGCGGTGGCGGCGGGGCGAGCGGCGGAGGCCGACGGTCGTCCCGTTTCGGAGGAGGAGGAGTGGCCGCGACGGCGGCGCTCGTGTTGCCGGGATGTTTCGGCGGCCGCCGCACTCGGATCTCGGCTGATGATCGTCGCGGTTTACATGTTATTATTATTATTATTATTATTATTGCTGCGGCCGTCGTCGTCGTGTGCGCGCATGTGTGGCGTCCGGAGTGTACGCGTGTCCGTCGCCGAGTGCGTGTGTGCTGTTTCCGTTTGTTTTTTTTACACTCTCTCTCTGTCACTCCGTCGTTTTTCCCGCGCCGGCGTGCCGTCGACGAATTTTCGGTATTTTTTAATTTTCTCGAAAACCACCCGCCCGCGTTGACAGTACCGCGCGTCGTGCGAAATCCCCGAGATTTTACGGTTTTCCGCGGTGTCCGGTCGCAACATCGATATCCGATACCTCTGGGTCCGCGTTCCATTCGCGCCGTGTAATTTTTCGAGTTTTTCCGTGTGTAAACCGAGTGCGATTTTTCCGGTTTTTTTTTTTTTTCTACGCGCCACCGACGAGCGTCGCCGTCGCCGATTTTTCGGATTTCTACTACACGGCGGACAAGACCATTTTCGCACTGTCGATATTTTTTACTGCGAAAACGGCGGGAACCTATACTAGTACCGCTCTCGTTTTTACGGAATAAATCGGTGAGTACGCCGGACAATAATTATTATCATTAGCAACTGTGTATCGTTACGATATTCGCGGTAATAACACAGTGTCTACGTATGCCGGATACATAGTATTAACGAATAATGTTGGACGGGACTGTTTTCCGGGAAAAATGAAACGGGTACCGGTTTAGCATAAAAGTAAAAAAAAAAAAATAATGAAAAATAGTACCTCCGTCGCATTCGGCTTGATAATTTCCCTCCAGACGTTTCTTCGGTCTAAAGTCACGCGCGTCTGTATAATATTTTCCGCCGAATAATAAAATAAAATGTGATAAAATTCGGTAAACCGTAAATATTCTTGACCGGAATACGAAATCGTTATTAGGATGGGCGCGAAATGAAGGGAAAACGATCAACAGCGGAGGACAACGGTCCAGATTTAGTATTTTTGTTTGGGTTTCTATTTTATTTTTTAGGAAAATGACTATACGGCCAAACAATTATTATAGTCCCGCGCACGTGCAGCCGGTATAAATAATATTGTATTTTATTATTCGACGTGGTTTACATTATCAATTCGTGTACAAATCGAAATCCGAACGCCGCAAGAATGGCAGGAATCGATAATGGAGCTCAATAACATTTCCGTTTCAAACGGAAAATATTATTAGGTGGAGCGTATTTATTTTTATTTTCCGACCGTTTCTCTTTGAAAACGCGATTTCAGTACAGTAAATGAACAGAGAAATCCATTTTATCTACAACCTACTGTTGATAACGTAAACAATTTTTGATTTCGAATTTTTCGCTATTATTTTTTTTTTAATTTTTTCGGTCGTGATCAAATGGTATTTTCCGCAATTTTTCCATCGACAAATTCACGCCGCTCTCCGGACGAATATAACACGAAGTACATCGCAGGTCAAATATTTTGTAATGTTTTCCTTTTTTTATTTTTCGGTCTAAACGGCACACGAGTATGTATGCATATTTTGTAGCACGTGCGTCATAAGCACTGAAAATTAAAATGTACACGGAAAAAATGGCCCAAGTCATATGATATATAAATAGTTATTATTACAACACGACTGTCTATAGGCCATTCAGTACGTCTGCATTTAAGTTGCATTTAATTCAAAGTCGAATTCGGTCGTACAACCCGGGAAACTGTATGCGGAAATCACTCGAGCCCTTCTGTTTCCTCGGGAAAGCATAATAAACGATTACGATAATATTGTCGACGGTGATAACAACGGGGGCGGATACAATAATATGGTGTACAGTGTACACAGTCGACTACGGGACACGCGAGATCCGTATCGACCGAGAATCTAAGTGGGTGTTTGCAGTCTCGCGGTGTAATATATTCATTTACAATAGTATTTTAGCGATTCTAATCGATAATTATTCCATCGAAAAACGACCGGTAGGTGCCGGTTAGAATCGAATAGATATTTACATTATACGCGAGACGCGTACGAAACGAACGATTTTTTTTTGTTTTTCTACGTCACGTAAATTCGGATTTTAAAATTATCATTTTCCTCTGTGAAAACGCGGAAACCATCGGATTCTAGGATCTAGTTTATGTGACGAACACAAACCACCGCCGGTCATATTTATATTGGATCGTCGTAAATACGATATCGGCGACCGCGTTTCGCGCCGCTCGCGAGACGATTTTTTCACGATACGTTTTTAAATGTTGCGTTCGATGCGCGTCAAATCCGAGCGCGCCGTTTTTCGAAAATCCGTACAAATCGGGTCCCGCTATTGCGGCATTATTTAATCCGATTACGATATTGTGTGGAGTAAGTCAGGCATAATTCATGTACCGGCAGATAAAAAACAAAAACCGTTTGTCGGTCCATGTCCATCGATATATTATAACCGCGCCGATAATTCCGCTGCTGTTTTTGCCGCCACAAACACGGCGGCGTGACACAGTGTGGGCCGATTTCGCGTCTCTCGTTTACCTCTGCGCATTTATTATATCCCCTCGGTATAGGATGTGGACGACTTTAATCCGCCGATCGGTAAATGATAAATGGCCAATAACATGCGCCGGATATCAATACGTCTTGTACAACGTACGTTTATTGCGTATTTTACATCGTGTAAGCGTACCCACCCCCGTGATACGGGTACGATATAGCGGTATCGCAACATACGAGTCGTATTGCATTTGTATACAATTATTGCCCCTGCGCGCAGATACTTATAAACGGATATATTAAATTTATCGATTAACGGACGTGATATATTGTGCGTTAAATTGTCTGACATACGTACAGGACTTTTTCAAGAAAATATAACACCGTACTGCTATATCGTAACGACATTATTGTGACGATAATCGCCGATCCGGGTTGGGAAATATGCATCGAGGCTCCCCGCGCGGTCGTATAATGACCGCAATAAGCTTTCGTTTTTTTTTAATTTTTTTTTTTCGCCTTCCAATCGTAGGTAAATCTATAGCGCGGGTCTCTGTGCGGGGGCACGGCTCGCACCGCCCTCTACTCTGGTGGTGAACGTCTCGGGCGTTTATGTATCGGCCGACGGTTATAAAAATATGATATTTACTCGCGCTACGCAAATAGTGTTCGGATTTTGTAGCGCCGAAATACGTGCGCCTATAACACGACCTGAGAGATCTCGAACCTATAACCTGTGAATGCGCCGTGAAATCACGGGAAAAACGGCATAGACGTAAACTTGTTATTGTTTATTTTCTAAATTTTCAATTTTTTTTTTTTTTTTAATATTATAAAAAAATACGATACCGACAAGAAGTCATATTATCGATGTGTTGTACGACTGTTTGACGGTTTGATCATACGCCGGGCTACTCAAAAACGTATATTATAATGTAAACCGAAAACGTCGGTATATTCTTCTTACGGGTTCACGCGAATGACCGATTTCCGTCCGCTGTTCGCGGATAATACGAAATGTGAATCGCGCGTTATGTTAAGCGGAACAAAAAAACCAAAATAATAATTACGGTACACAATTACGGAGATTCGGCGCAGCCACTGGCGCGAGCGTTAAAACGAAATGTAAAACGCGCCGCGCCGTTTTCGTCCGCGGTGTCCCGGCAATAATATTAGCGAACGCTCCGAAATCCCGAGTCCCGCGATCCTAAAATCGCATTGTACCGCGGGTGTGCGATGACAATAATACGATCCGCGCCCGCTCCTGCAGCGCGGCTGTAATGTAGTCGGGGCGTTTCATCAATCATCGTAAATCTATATATCGGATGTACGGGAAAAAAAAAAAAAAAAAAAAAACCTCTTACTCCGATGATTTTATAACGCCGCCGCCGTCGGTGAGACTGCGCCGAAATCAATTAATTACAGTGTGCTTAGGTACGCCTGTCTCTGAAATAGCATTTACGTGGAGGAACAAAAAGAAAATACCAATACGACGGGCGTTTTGTGTTCGGTTGCGCGAACCACCGTATCGCGCGCGACTTTTGTTTATTTTTTTTCCGACCCGCGTTGTTTTCAAACGTTTCTGCTCGGCCGAAACAACAGCCGCGCAAAACTCGATACGATAAACGCGGAAACCGACCGGATATTTTAACGATTTCGTCACGTCCGGAGAGCGTCTATATTGGCGAACGTGTGAGTGTTTTGCGAACATTTCGGATGTCTGCCGATTATTCTTCAGCCGAATAAAAATAGCCGACGAACAACAGTCCATTGAGTGGCAGGCGGTAAACTCGAAAACAGTTTTTCGGCTGTATAATAAAAACGTTCCGATTCGTTCACGCAACATACCGTAAAGGACGCTCTCACTTGAAATGTTTTTCGAAATTCTCAACGGTTCGTCCCCCGGATCCTGTTATTTCGTATAGGCATTGGTTTTTCGTCGCTCGGAAAACACTCGTGTGAGGAGACACTCCGGATCCAAGTCTGTTACCGTTCAAATTGACCGGCGGTGTTTTAAAGAAAATCAACCTAATTTATGCGATGCCACGATTTATTCCGAAGTGCGTATGCTTTTACGCGTCTGTTACGATTGAATTTTTCGGCGAGTCTCGGCGGAAATCCGATTAAACTTTTTGTTGCATTATCCCGATGCAGTCAATTTCGCGGCTTTGGCCCCGTCCGACACGTTTTTGACCTTTGGAAAAATATCGCGAAATATATTGTAAAAGATAAACTCCGTGTCGCGTGCCTGTACAATAATGTACGGACAGCAGTATTATGTGTACGCGAGAGTCCTGGGCCACGGCATAGGGTAATACATTTTTTCTAAAGACGTTTTCGACACGGTCACTAGGTACCTACGAGTTACTCGGCTTCAGAAAAAAAAAAAATCAACAACAACAACAAATAACACAAATTAACAGCATAATTAACGGGCCGGATACGGTTCGGTATAGTAACATAATAGTTTCAAATTAACACGTAGAACCATTAATGTCGTCCGACAACGATTCGGTCCGGGTGTACAGGTATACCGGTCGCGGTCGCGTCGTCGTCGAGGAGACGTAATAATTATTACAATTTTTTTTTTTTGTAAATATTATCCGAAACACGAGGCTACGCATTGTCTCGACCTACAGCCGATAACGGACGACGCGGTGAAATAAAAAAAAAACACGTTTTTACCGTGAACGTCGTATTATACGAAATCGGGATTTTTTTTTCCCAAAATGTAGTCACAGGCGCGCGTTAGTTTTTTTTTTTTTTAAATAGCGGTAACTTTTTCGTTCCGACAAACGTTTGGAAAAACAGCAATACCTCACAGCCTTCAGCCTTTTTGCGTTTTCTCCGTCCTCGTTTGAAACGTAAAACGCCCACCACAAACTTATACCGAACCGAAACGCGTTTAACTATACGTAAAACAACCGAAAGAACCTTTGAAATTGGTTTTAAAGAGAACCTATTCATAATCTGCAGGGGCGTCATTCGAGAGATTCAGACTATAGTCGGATAGCCCTATTTTTATTTTTATTTTTTTTTTTGTTAATATGTTCTTATAAGTATTTTATGCATAAAATATGGTGCGCCGTTGTCGATAAAATGCACTAGAAAGAAACACGAATCAGAAAAATTTCTCTGTGTAGCATTTGACAATCCAAACGTAAAGTGGGAATGATGAGCTATATGGAGCCAATCGAAAATTCGTTTCCTTTTCCGTGCATCCCTGTTGAAAACCTGAAATGACGCCCCTATCCTAATGCGAAATGTATAGACGACGACAATCCTGTTTTACGACGGTTCCCGTACCGAATTTTTTTTCAATAAATAATATCCGCAGGAAAAACGACAACGCGATTGGCGCGAACGCGTTTTTTCCGTCGGTTTTTGTCGTTCAAAAGACCGCAGAGACACGGCTACGGTTTCGAATAAAACGTATTGAAATATTATCTTTCCGAAGCGATTGATTATTTTCTTTTGGCCGCCGGCGATGACATAATAATATTAATAACAATAACAACGATATTCGTACGTTCGTTTCGAAATATTAATTTTTATTTTTTTCGCGATTATTTTTCACATATTTTCCATTATAAATTCGATCGGTTTGTTTACTTATTACGAACAATTTTTTTTTTTTCTAAAAAATTTTTATTCGCCGGCGGTCACGTCCGAAAATGTCGTACACGTCATTATTATTATTATTATTATTGCAAAAATGTTCGGTGTACGTATATCCGTTCGATTTTCGCCCGTTAAGCAAAAATATTATTATTTTCGTTGTTGTTGTTGTAGTAGATTTTCATCGATATTCTCCGAACTCGTCGCGTGCGCGCCCGTTTAGATCATCGGAAATCGAAATATTATATATTTTATTAGTGTCGTCTTTTATTAAACGGGTAATCATTATTATTGTTGTTTTTTTTTTTTTTTTTTTTAATAATACGGTCTACCGTATACTTAAAAAAAAAAAAAAAAACTACTGCACTTAAAAGCCGTCCACTCGTCGTTTTTCTGCCCGCCGAAAACGACGACACGCGAAACTCTATACGCTCGTTTAAAACAGTATGCAAAGCGATCGGGGAATCGTTATTATTATTATTATTATTTTCATTATTATTATTTTTTTCTCCGCCGAATGTATATTGAATTTCCTCGTTCGTTTACGTTCGGCCGAACGGCGGTGTTCCCCCCCCCCCCCCCCCCGTTATAATATAACACGTTACGTGACAATACGATTTTAGCTCGTGCGCCGATTTTCCGCGGGGGAAAAAAGAAAAAAAAAAAAGAAAGAACCGTTTACACGCATATTTTTTGCGACGCGTTCAAACGCGGATTCGGTTTTCAAACCCCCCACCATCACCCGATTTGTTTCTCCGAACCCTTTAATCAAATCCGCATACGATAACGACAGTACACAAAACGGGGTTAGTTAGGAACACCGCGTTTGGAAAATGTGTGCAATTATTATTATTTTTTTTTTTTGTTTATTTTTTTTCCGTTTCTGTACATTACAATCCTGTCGTCCTTTGTTTCGTTTCTTCGGACGGAAAGACGGTTTTCGGGGGCAGGGCGGTGTAAGTGTATATACCCGAAGTCATTTCAAAGACCGCACCGTAAAACAGGGTTAAGGGACTTCAACGTTTTTTGTATATTATTCCGTACAAAAAGTGTTATTGTATCGACATACAATCGCACATGTTATATGTTACGTTTTCAAGTATAATGCGCTTCTCGGTGTGTATGTGTATATAATCCGATTAATGTGTAATATATTATTGTAATACTTACAGACTTAAGGCATATCACCACCGCGTTTAGTTGACGGTTGAAATTTTTTTTTTTTTTTTTTTTTCGTACGTTACCATTATATTCTTTTCGTGATATATTGTCGTTTCTTCGTGCGCACTGGTTCCGTATATAAAACGTCATGAAAATAATTATTCTTTTTAAACTCTCTCGTCAAAGAGGGTAGGTATTAATCGTCGCGTTAATTGCGGCCGCACATAGATTCCCACGCAGTAATTCTATGAACCGTATCGTTTGTATATGATAAAAAAATGAAAAAAAAATTAAATATCCACGTTGTCCGACCGAACACCGGCGATCATTGTAAACGAAAATAAATAGCATTGCCATCCAGTTGACGGTATATAGTTGAGGTTCCTTTTTATTTTTTTTTTTTTTTTTTTTTTTTTTTTTTTAATTTTAGCTTTACCGGTCGGCAGTTATTTTTGTCGTAGACTTGTTTCAACTCGGCCGTGTATATTACATAGTTTGGTTTTCGTTCGGTATACCGAACCCGACACGCGTAAACTAAAACTTGAAGTTTATTACAACAGACGGTCGAGTACGTATATAGTATTATGTTTCTCCGCGAACTCGGTAAGCATTTCACCCGAATAAATACGAGGTTTTAATTAGTTCATTTCACTCGATTTCGCACACTTGAAACACGCGGAATAGCCTAAATCGATTTTTCGGGTTTTCATCATCGCGTGAATTAATATTATTTCGTTTATTTTTGTCGGCATCGCGTTTTATAGTACACACTTTCAATAAGGACGAATAAGAACATTATCATCTGAGAACGCCCATCACTATTATATATTATTTATACACAACTAATTGCGTTTCACGAGCGTATATCTGCGATTATATTGTTTTATTGTTGCGTTTTTTTTTTTTTTTTATACGGCTTATCGGATTTTCGAAATCTTCGCCATAATTCATTGTCTCGTCGATCGAAGGGACGTATAGCAGGGGGTTAGCCTACACTCGTACCGATAACAAACACGAACCGTCAAAACGTGTATACACGCATTACGTACCGAAGGACTTGTCACGAAAGTGCAATATTATTGTCGGAGGCGCGCACCGTGTAAATATCATCGGACACGAAGAACGCAACGTGTAACGCGCGGTTTTCGAGGAACGCAATCGGCTCGAACGCCGACGAACGGCACGTAAAACGGTTAAAAACCGTATGTACGCCTGCGCACAGGTGTACCCTGTATACCGGACGTACGAAAAAAATCGGCCGTGAAAACCAACGACAAGAAGCTCTACGCCCAGACACGGATGGAAATGGATACAATACGCATTTGTCGTATAGATAAATCGTACTCGGTCGATACACAGTGTACACATCACCGCGTATATACGCACATACAGCGCACACCGCTCGTGTATACGGTACATACACACCACGTCAAATTAAGACGCACACGCGCGTATTAACCACCTCTTAACTGGTCCGTAACCTTTTTTTTTTTTCCTTCACCGACTTACGAGAGAGATTAGGACACCGGGAGCCCCGGAGCTGCGGTGGCGCGGCCCGGATTAATGCGGTTGTTTACGGAAACAACGAATTACTATATACCGTACACACATACGCACGGGGTATTTACCGTCTTGTGTAGCGTCTTTGCTGCTCTCCATTTAACAGATTTTTAATGGCCGCGCTCGTACACACCTTGAGTATACACACGCATTATGTACTTACGCGCGCCGTATTTATGTTACACACGCGTTTCGCTGTACGGTGTACCTGTACGGCCGATAAAAACGATAAACGTACCTATAATACGCGCGGGGGCTCCCGTATATTGGTAAACCGCATAGAGCGCCGTTGATTGTGTTCCTTTCGGGTGGGTTTATTTTTTTTTTTTCCCATTCGTTTTTATTTACCTGCATTTTTCCGTCGTACCGAACACCACGGCGTGTCTGACTAGTGTAAAAAAAAAATAAAAATCGACGTTAAAATAGTTATTATTTATTGTTCCCGATACGTACGCATTCCCGATAACGACGCGCGGTGCTCGCGGCCGGTAACGCTTGGTAACGGCCAACACAACGGCGTGCCGAACGCCGCGGCACAGACGAATACAAAAACGAACACAAACGACAATCGGACGACAATACGAATGCGTTAACCGATTAATTAATTTTAATTTCCACGACATTTTATGCCGCGTGTATTATTTATAATGCGCACGAATGTGATCAGATACGTCCCGTCGCCCGTTTTCGCATTCCAGCGTTGATTGTTTTGTTTTCTCGGCCGGTCAATTTAAATTCGTGATTCTCTCCGAGCCGGTGTTCATTTCGTCCGCCACTCGAATAGTGTTTCTGTCCACCGCGTTTTTCGCGTCAATGTCCCGGTTGATTGGGCGAGCACATTGCGCATGAGAAATCTAAACCATATCGAATGTTATAGTAAAATTCTCGTGTTCGTCAATATACGTACACGGCCGGTCGTATTTGACCGTAGTTTGTTAAAATGTGTGAGCGTTTTTATTGTCCGCGGATTTTTTTATTAATATTATTATTATTATTATTATTTTTTTCCTTTTACCCAGAAATGCGCGTCACCACTAAAATAAATATTTTCGCGAGCGGACAAAATTCAATATGTAAACTATCCTCGCGTAACTCAATATGGATACGTTTTTGACATTGATTTTAATTCAATTTTGCATTATATCTATTACTAGACGAATGTAAAAATGATTATATTAAATTATTTGTTTTGGCACGACGACTCGCAGCACGGCACAGAGTTTTCATTAACTTGTTTTTTTTATAACAGTGATAACTTGGTTATTCGATTATAATACGAATCGGCGCGGTGTAATAAGCGAACCGAAATATTGAAAAATATTTGAATTCGTCAACGCGTTCGTCGGGCATCCTTGCAGTTCGGACGGAAACGTTACAAAATATTATGCATTTGTTGTAAACACGTGCGTCTTACAAAATGCATCACGGCGTAACAATTTCGCGTTCAACAGAACCGATTTTTTTTAATTTTGTTAATTTTATAATATTAGAATGAATATTATTACTCGACATAATATCGATAATATAAAACAATTCATACTCTAATCAGTGGCACACACACAGAGGGGGGTTAGAGGGGAAAAACCCCTCCCGAAATGTCTTACTTAATTGCATTTTTTAAATCAAGTTTTACAGTCAACAGCATAATATTAAGAGATACAGAATAAAATAAAATTTAATTTCATCAGAAATCATTTGTTCAGTAATAATAATGACAGTGCTGTACTTGTAATATGTGCTATCCCCTCTCTAGGAAATTATTATAAACGACACCATTCCCGAAAAAAAGTCCTGCGTGCGCTACCGACTCTAATAATATCGTGAGACTATAACAGCACACAGCAACGGTACTGTATGAAATTACCATAAAATTTACACAAATTTACAAATTTGTTCGCGTCCGCGGAACAGCGTTTATACGTCTATGTAATTATTATTGTTATTGCGTGTAGACTCTATAGTAGATATGTACCGCTGGTGGGTCGAACGGGTGCTTCTAATGAAGCAGTCGCATCATGACCGAATTAGTTGGGTGCAGTGCAGTGTGCGACACTGTACCGTCGTATAAGACACGGCAAAGGAAACGGCGACGAAGTAACACACAGAAACACCGAGTCGCCTCGTAGTTACGCGGCTGTTGAAGCCAGGACCCTATTTACGCAAGGACATTGTGGGTATTTGTCCAGGGCCCATGAGGATCAGTGGCCCACCTCCTGGATTTAATTCTCTTTTTTTTAATTTTAATTAATCCTTGAAATTGAAGAATACCAAAAAAAAGTTTACACGGTCGAAAATACTCGTAAGAATATAAATTATTTTTTTCAGTTTCATAAAAAAACATACGGGTACGGAACGAGACATATTCGTATTGAATGGATCAAAAATAGGCCAAATTTTTCTTTTCGCCCCGGGCCTGAACAATTCTAAATCGGGCTCCGGTTGAACCCCGGGATTCTTCGGGGCTCGGGTCGCACGAGGTTTTCTCGCGATTTCGCTGGAACTGCAGCTGCTCCGTGTACGGACGAACGAACTTCGTCGCAACGTCACTTTACGTACACGCGTATGCTGGCATAAAATATCGCAACACGGCCGTTTCCGTCCGTCGAAATGACTCGTTTGGTCGTCCGTCAACGTCGCCGGTCGGTCTGTTCAAACGATAACGATAATGCGCGCGGTCTTATCACAGCGGCTACATACGCGTTACGTGGTTTCTGCGGTTTCTGCGATCGTATGCGAACGGCAATAGTCATTTCCCATCGTCTCCGCACACAGCGTATGCTCGACATAAAAATCTATAAATTACAATATTGTCGCGGCAAGGTATATAAAACGGGTAGTAAACGTCGTAAATAATACACTCGCGTTTGTAACATTATACAGAACGTTAAATATCCGCGGTTAACCGCCGTCATATCCGATTTTTATCTCGTGTCTCTTTCTCTCTCTCTGTGTGTGTGTGTGTGTGTGTGTGTGTGTGTAGCCTTAAGGATCCGATTTTGGCGCGCGCTCTGCGCTGCGGTACACGGTTTCGAAAAAGGCGTTAAACGTACGCGATGCCGACACCGAAACGATCTTATCGGACTGTACACGCGAAACGAAAAATCCTTGTTACGGCGAATGTTGTTATATTTTGTTTTTTATTGATATCTATTTTGTACCACCGTGAATTATAATATTAGAGCAGATATATTGGCCTGCTATCAAACTCAAAGGCGAGAATATTTGCCGGTACTCTCGCATTTTAATTTCTAAGCGAGATAGGACGATTTTAAAATTGTATTATTTTACACATTCGTAACTCGCTTGTTTTTATATTTAGGTTCAACAATAGACAAAATACGCGTTAATATCAGAAAAACCGCGCGTAATGGGTTTTCGTATACAAAAACCGTGTATAAATATAGCGGTATTAACCGATTTTATAACATTTACCGTAACATATACTGTAATATAATTTTTTAAACTCGATAAGGCGTTCAAGGAGTCGTGTCGAAAGTTAATTTTTCGATTTCGAGTCTAATCCAATCCGATTGTAAAATTCCCGTATTATTTATCCGCGCGGTGTATATTTTTTGTTGATAGACGAACCGGAACTGCACAATGAAATTGCTCATCATTTATTGTACTGTTATTGTTATTAATTTTATTTTGTTTTTTACATATTTTATTATGATACGTCGTCGTTAAAGTTGAAAAAAAAAACAAAAAACGGTATAATATACAGATAAATAAATCATTTAATGCCAACTCGTAATTACGTCGACTTAACGAATATTATCATAGCTAGTTTATTATAAAGAAATATAGCTGAGACTGTTTGAAATGTATAAAAAAAAAAATATCACACACGTGGTACGGATGAGACTGTATTATAGACAGTCGTGGACTCAACGAAATCTGGTAGCAATCAATTATTTGAAACCAAAAGAGAACGCATTTTTATATATATATATATATTCAATAGCAGTACTTAGTTTAACGAAAATATTCTTTATTTTATATATAAAAAATATACACGATACGAATGGGATTGTTATTATTATTTATTCTTTGTCGAATTCTATACGGCTATACGGCAACGCAACAGGTCGATTTTATAAAAAAAAAAAAACCGCCAACGAAAACGAATAATATAAATTTTTTTTTTATTTTTCGTCTTAAAAACACAACGATACTTCTACAAAAAATAAAATACGTTTTTTACCGCGCGCTTTTTCATACAATACCACGTAATACAAATTATTAATTACGAGCTCGTATTTTAGATACCTACTTGTATGCTATTATATTGTTATACTGCAGCGGTTGGCACGTGTTCAACTAAAAAAATATTAATTTTGACAACGCCGAAAACAAATTGTTCGGACATTATAATATATACGAGTACCCATATTCAACGGGAATTTTACAGCATATCCATTATTTTTTTTTTTTGGACGGATCAAAGTATTTTACTTAAGCCGCTACCGAATATTTGTCGTCCGTTCAATTTTCAGGGCGAGTAATTTACAGGTTTTTACTATGATTTAAACCTAATCCTACTTTTTTTTATCTTCAGTAAACGACTTTTCGTCTAGAAATCTCGCTCCACAATAATCGTCCGAACTCGGAAACGGTCGGTTTCTGCAAGTATTGAATATTGTACCGTTGGGAGGGGGAGATGAATTTGTTTTTAATTTATTTTCGCTAATTTCAACGTTTAAAACAATCGGTTAAATTCTTACCCTAACTCTGCTCAGAATCGTTTTTAAGTTTCAACGATTTATTGTTTCACGGTACCAGATCAATCAAATCACTCTACAGTGTCCGTTTTTTTTTTTTTCAATATCTACGAATGGCATTTTCTATACTTACGAGTTACGAGTAAGTTCAGTCGTAGGGCGGTTTTTCTTATACGTTTGATGTTTAAACCGTTTCCGGTATATTATATCAGTACGTTGTGAAAAAAATTGCGACACATAATTTGAATTTTTTTTTTTTTTGTATTATTTCAAATACTCGGACTCGACGAATTCATAAAAAAAAAACCGGGTCAACCCATCATAAAATAACATATTAAACGGTTCGGTTAGATATTTTAATTGTTTTTCGTTATGTGTGTACAGAGAACGACAAATCGCCAGGTTATTTACAACCCAAAAAAAAATAAAAAATAAATAAATGAAAGGCAATTATTTTTTGGTACACAATGGATTAGTGTTAAACGGTTCTTATTGTGTTCGACAAGTGTTTTACTATGTATACGCGGTAAAACAAAAAAAAAAAAAAACAAAACGCGATATTTACAGTAAATTACCCAATACATTTCGAACAGCGCTCGAAACTACTCACACAATGTTTATAAAAGTAAAAACAAACAAAAAAAAAAAAACTATTCGATACCGAGAAAAACAGGTGTTTAAGTGCATTTTTTTTTTACACGGTCATTGTACGTCGTGTTATACTTTATTACGGTGCACGAACGCGCATAATTCGCGCCTTTGAACGCGCGCGAAACACCGCCGCGCGATCTCCGTAAAACGTTATCGCCGTCGTTTTTTTTTTTTTTTCCCCCGCCGGTACACTCCGACCCGGAAAAAAGCGCATTGTCGCCGTACTTCCGGCGCGTTCGTCGTGTTGTCGCGGCAGTATTCGCGCGTCGGAAATCCAAAGACGCGACGGCGTAACACGCGTAACCGCACCACGGCGATCCGGCCGCGCGGCGCCGGCGGCGTTCACGGCGTTTCGCGCGCACGTCGCAATCGTTACGGGCGTCTCGGACGGACGGTTTCGAACTCCCGGCGAGAAAAAAAAAAAAATCCACAAAAAGCGCGGGCGCGGCAGTTTATCGCGATGTCGACGCCGCCGGAACAACATGGGCCGTCTGGTTGTTCGCGTGCTTTTGCGCGCCGTTGCT